CGTATTCTTTTCACTAATTAGGTTTGCCTGTACCTTCAAGATCATCACTAACCTGTTAAAATCCACACAAAAATAAGACTAATCCACTTCTCAAAACGAATTTGAGTGTGGCCCATATATGACTGTCTCTAGTCTGTGGCTCCATTTTCTATCCTGTATTTCCAGGCAATAAATTCTCGGTTAAATGTGATTCAAGCGTATTCTTTTCACTAATAAGGTTTGCCTGTACCTTCAAGATCATTACTAACCTGTTAAACACACAAAAAATAAGACTAATCCACTTCTCAAAACGAATTTGAGTGTGGCTCCATATTACTGAACTGTTCTAGTCTGTGGCTCCATTTTCTGTCCAGTATTTCCAGGCAATAAATTCTCGGTTGAATGTGATTCAAGCGTATTATTTTCACTAATAAGGTTTGCCTGTACCTTCAAGATCATTACTTACCGTACCCGTTGAACACACAAAAAATAGGACTAATCCACTTTTCATACCAGAATTTGAGTGTGGCTCCGTATTACTGCATAGCACCATGGCCTGGCCCCGATTTCTCCGTGGCCCGGCCCCAATTTCTCTGTGGCCCGGCCCCAATTTCTCCGTGGCCTGGCCCCAATTTCTCCGTGGCCTGGCCCCATTTCAGTGGCCTGGCCCCAAAGCCACAAAAAAGTGACCACTCCCTCTCTCTTAAACGGGCTTAAAACTCAATAATTTCTTTTCCCCCTATTGCAATTATGATGCCTGCTTTAGATTCAGATTCAGATTCAGATAATTTATTTCTATCATGCAAGAATTAACACAAAATTTAAAGCACGAAAAATTGACAAACGTGTATAATGACAATCGTAAAAAATTAAATATACACATCAGAATTCATACAAGTGAGAGATTCATAGCAATAGATAAGGAGTCGCGAAAGACTGTGACAGTCATCGAGTCAGCGACACCTGTGGGCTGGAGATTTAGAGGGAATGACAAAAAAAAAAAAAAAAAAAAATTATACAAATTTAATCAATCATAATTGACAGAGAAACAAAATCACAAAATACCACCAGAGTAATAATACACGCGACAGCGCCCTCGTGGGGTTCAACTGTGCGTTCATGGACCGTAACAAGAATGAATGAAGCTCGTTGCTAGCAGCGATCAATAAGCTGGTTGTTGTAGCCTACTGAGGCATATTGGATACGAAACGTAAGGACCATTTTATTAGTGGAGTAGGATCACACAAAAAATAACTGGATATGGTAACAGCAAGAATTCAAGTAACTCGGAATTTGTACGGAACAATATCCCATCACAGTACCGGTAACAGGGCGAGGCATCAAGACCGGAAGGGTGCCGTACGTTACGGAGACTATATGAACGTATATACTGATATATAACAATAACGCCAGGAAGGAAATCATATTATTTGAAAAGCTGACGGATCAAGTATATAGCCGCCTAGGTATACCTTTTTCAATGCTTGTTTGTATGCATCGTAATTCATGTTTCGGAAATACTATCAGCCAAAGAGTTCCATAATTTAACACCTAAATATTTTATTGAATTTTGTGTTAGTTTGGAGGTGAAACGATGCACATAGTAAGAACCATGGGTAGAAGACCGTGGTACTATGTGAATGAATATTACTTTGCTTATAGAAATAATGAGTAAATGTGACAGGGAGTTTATTGTTATGATGTTGATGCATCAGTTTCAGTACCTCTATTTTATGAATATCTGTCAGTTTTATAATTTGAAGTTCATGGTAGATATGGATTGAGTTGTTCGCGACGTCCACTACCAGAAAGAGCACGGATGGCTCTATTTTGGATAATCTCGATTTGATGTAATAGAGTTCTATTGGCTGAACCCCATGCAATAATGCCATATTGAATGTGGGTTTGGAAATAGAGAATGGTAAATCATACGGAGAGTTGTTACAGGTACAAAGTGCCTAAGTTTGTACAGTATTCCAACCGATTCTAGATAGTTTAGCAGCCAAAGTTCATTATGTGAATATCCCATTTCAATTGGCTATCCAAAAATATGCCCAAATATTTGTAAGAACTTACATTTTCTAATCTAGTGTTGCCAATATCAATCGAAAATTTGATTTGAGTTTTATGTTTATTTGGTGAAATAAGCATAGTTTTGGATTTGTCGACGTTTATAGATAATTTATTAGCCTTCATCCAATTAGCTACTTTTACTATTTCAGAGTTCACTCTTGAATGAAGAGCAGGGAGAGATTTGTCGCTATCGAGGAGATTGGTGTCATCTCGCGAATAATTTTGAGAAGAATGATGAACAATGGGCGAGATCGTTGATGTAGATCAAAATAATAAAGGCCCCAAATTAGATCCTTGTGGGACCCCGTGTGTCACAGGTAAGACGCACGAGCGGTAGTTTCCTACTTGAACGTATTGAGTTTCGATCACTTAAATAACTATGGAGGAGTTTATTAGGTAATCCCTGACGCCATAATGCCACAACTTGTTCATTAGGATATAATGATTGACAGTGTCAAAGCCTCTTCAGACGATCAGAAAATTGGCCACCAACAAATTCTTATCCTATTCTAATTTGTCATAGATATAAGAAATTGTATCTAAAATTGCGTGTGATGATCGGACTGATTGTTTTGGAACCAAATTGGTGTTTGTTTATTACATTAAATGTTTTGTGAAAAATTGGTCAACCTATGTGAATTAGACGTCAAATATTTTATTAATTGAAGAGAGGATAGAAATTGGCCTATAGTTTGAAACAATTTTTTTGTACCAGATTTGAAGAGCGGTATCACTCGAGCGACTTTGAGTGACGAAGGGAAGATTCCAAATGCGAGGGAGCAGTTGAACAATTTCACGAGAAAGGCGCGAGCAGTTCAGCAACCAAATTTAGGAAGCGAGGTGGGATGTTATCCGGCCAACTGCCTTTCTTTCCTTCAAATCAGAATTTCCATCATCAATTCGGATTCAGTGGCCAAAGTCATGAAAATGGATTTACTAACACGGTTACAAAGAAATAGCCTAAAGTCACACATATCATTGGAAACTTGGCTGCCAAGTTAGATCCGACCGTAGAAAAATACTTATTGAATTCAGCCGCGATTAAGCAACCGTCTTTCAGTATACTGCCATTTTCAAGACAGATTTCCTGAATTATTTGTTTAGAGTTATTTTTCGTAGTTGTAAGTTGGTTTATAATTTGCCATGTATACCTTGGATTGCCCTTGTTCTGAGAGATAAGATTTTGGTAGGGAATTTGCTTCGCTTTTTCTAATGCGGAAGTGAGTGTGTTTTGATACTTCTTAAAGTATGAACGTTGCAGAGGGTTGCCACATAAAAATGGGTTTTAAATAACTTATTTCTATGTCTCGTACAATTGATCAACCCTTTGGTTAGCCATGGCTTTAACCTTAACCGTTTTTTGCCGACGTGAAAGTTGTCGAAGTGGGGCATGCCGATCGATGGTACTAACGAATGACTGTATGAATTCATCAAATATGCTGTCAAAGTTCTCAGCGTTTAAACTAATTGTGGCAAATCGATTATTTATGCTGTTTTGAACTTCAGATCGAAAGGCATCAATTGAGAACCTTGAACATATCCCTTGACAATATACACTCATTCGTTTTTATAGGTTTGATGCCACTTAAACAGCAAAGGATGGGATAAATGATCGGTTACGTCAGAAAGAACAACATAAGATTCTATTTTTAAGTGCGTTAAATTGGTATACATGTGGTCAATAAGGGTGGCTGAGGTGGGCTGACCCTTGTGGCTTCAGATATTATAGAAATAGCATTGTGTGACACAAGCATATTGAATATAGTTCATAATTTGAGTATTGATAACAGCTGAAAATAAATTAATATTGAAGTCACCTACAATGAGAAATTTTTATTAGCCAATTTGGCCAGGGATGGTTCGAATATGTTCGTAAAATCAGAAATATCGTTGCGTGGGTGTTTGTAAATGACACCAATTACCAGTTTGTCAGTGGCATTTTCTAAAACAATTTCAAACCATAAGTTTTCGCAGTTAGGATATTGAACGCTATTTTCTACGGTTACAGTAAACGTAATATCGTTTCTGATATAGGCGCCTACACCTCCTGCTCTAGTAGCAGATGGTGCGTGGATAAAGTTATATTCCATCAATGCCTATGTTAGAGGAAAAATTATTAACTAGTTTGGTTTCGCTTATAGCTATTATGTGTGGGGGTACGGACAAGTGCGATAACAGAAAAGTCAATTGATCGAGATTTTTATGGATTAGAACGAATATTCATATGAAAAATAATCAGATCAGTAGACGTACAAATGGAATTCAATTTTGAAACTTCGATACTGTTGCAAACAAAATTACAGTTATTGGGCATCTAGGTTAAGGAATACCATCATGAATATTTGCTAGTAAAATAATATAGCAACTGACCTATTTGATGAATGATAGATCATTTTCATTTCTGATTTGTCTTGCGTTAGTATCGTCATTTTTCTTGACAAAAATTTGCCATTACTAGTCCATAGATATTTGTAACCACATTGTCTTTTTCGCTCCCTTGCTTGGAAATACAATGATCTTGCTGTTTTAGTTAGGTTCTCCACTATGAATATTTTGTTGAAGTTGAAAAATTATTTGGATCTTTTGCTGTTCTCAGGTTTTCCGGCTTTTAATTATGTTGGTTCGGACTCTCCTCGATGTGAATCGAGCAATTATTGCAGAAGATTTTTCTGAGTTGTCATAAGCTAGTCTGTGTGAATTATAAATGTCTGCAGTTGTTATGGTCACTCAATTAACTTGGACAGTTTGCATACAAGCAAGTCGGTGTTTTCATTTTTTTATAAGTGATACCGTGAAACTCGAGACATTCTAGTCGAGATCTTCTTTCTTGATCTTCGACGCGAGCTTCCAGGTCATCACATTCATCTTCGAGCTCCTCCACTAGTTCTTCTAGATCTTGAATCTTTTTTGCTGCTTTTTAACCATGTCTTGTGTGGATTTAAGTGTTTTATTAATAGAGTCAAATTTATCTGACAAGAATTTTTGACTTTCTCCAAGGTCACTCTGAATTTTGGCTATCACACCGAGCTCGCTTCGCATTTCTTTCATTGAAGAATCCAGGGAACTCAAGATGTGTTCAAAACTAGACGTTGCGACTTTAGAAGAATCCGATTGACTGGATGGTGATGGTTTGGTTGTCAAGCATTCATCAATCATTGAGGGCAATTGTATTAATACTTGGCGAAGAATGGTGTTGGTGATCACTGCCATGAGTGTGCTGTCTTCCTCCTGTGATGTGCTAGGCGATTCAGGTTTTGGTCGCTTGGAAGAATCCATACTCTATGCCTGGTATATTATACGATGTTTCAATAATATACAGAATGTAGAAGAAGGATGTTTTCTATGGTACTCCGATCTTGGTCATCAGTACAGGCAGGCGAAGCATAAGACTATTAGTATAGTTATAGAATAATTAAAGTAGCCTATTCCCATCTTAATTATACAGCGAATAATGAGAGTAGAGAGTATCCTATCCTGGTAGAATCTCTCTTAGGGGTCGGTCGACCATGGAAGTCTTGCCCGTCCCCTTCCGTATATATTTTTATGCTTATTGTTGTTTGCTTATGGTTACCGTATTATGTACTTGTATCGGAAATAAATCATATCTATCTATCTGTATAAGGTATCATTCCTAAGTGTGACCGTAATCTCTAGTCTTGGCTATTTCAGAGACAATGCATAGCATAATTGTTATGTAAAATCTATGGCGATTTCGTGATTATAATAATAATAAAGATTATTATTATTATAATCACGAAATCGCCATAGATTTTACAAGATTAATAAAGATTATTATTATTATAATCACGAAATCGCCATAGATTTTACATAACAATTATGCTATGCATTGTCTCTGAAATAGCCAAGACTAGAGTTTGCAAAGTACCGGTATTGCGACGGTCATCCGTAATATAAGTAGGCCTATAAGTTTATTTTGATTTCCCCGAAACAAAACAAAAACACGTGCAAAATGACACAGTGAACACACAGTAGATTGGGAAAATCAGGAAAACTGGCAAAACCTCTGATAAGATTTAAAACCCTCATGTGCCAGTTTACCCATATTAGACACACAAACAAATATTAAAAATAAAAGATAAAACACGAACTGTGTTGTTCGGGCGTGTAGCACACTGCAGACACGGTGGATTTTAATTAAAAACTGTTTATATAAAGCTTAATAGTGCCTGCGTGTACCGTACCGTAATTTGGTACTGGAGAAAGTTAACAAATTCAATTACGCCAGAAACCTCTCTCGTATCGGGATCGTTTCGCAGAGCTGCAATGAATACGTAACTCAAGCGAGACAGCAATTTCCACCAAGGAACGTTCACGATATCCTCATCTGAGCAATTTCGTGAGTGGACATAGGCCTACCGGTATTATTATATATTCACGCAAAGGCTGTTGTAGTTGTTGTAGTCCACCAACCGGGCACCAAGTCTTTATGTCCGTCTACAGGTCATGCATTGTGCCACACTTTATTAATGAGGCTTAAATGGTTTCACTCCAAGCAAGGCTATAGATAAGCAGAAATGGACATATTAACTTATGCAAGGCTATGCTTCTATGGGTGTAGTTTCGTACAACTTCTAGTAGGCGTATGGTAGCAATTTTTGCACATATCATTCCTGACCCGTGACCCCCACCTGACTTTGTCATCCAAAAATTATGTGAGTGTCTGAATGTGATCCCATCTCACAAAAATAAATAATTCTATGTAACTGAACGTTTCAGATTTTATGGATTTATTTTTGTAGAAATAGCATAGTTCGCCATTCTTATAAAACGTGAATTATGGCTTCTGACATATTGGAAGGCCTTGAACTTCGTTTTCGTCCTTCAAAAGGGAGACCATTAATGACTGAATTTTTGAAAGAACATATGTTCGATATTCCTCAGTCACCCTTGATTGATCCTGAGATGCTACGACTCAAAACTTCATCACCACAGAACCAAAAATCATATTTAGGAGAGAAAAGTTCCCCTCTGCATTTTGATAGATCTGAAGTTGTTGGTAAAAATGATGAAGCAATACTGCCTTCAGATGCTAAAAGCAATGATGCTGCTACTCAAGTGGAAAGTGAAAGTTTTTCTTCGTTGACCATAACCGGAAATCTTCCATCAGCTAAAAAGCGAATTCATCAAAATAGCTCTAAGATAATGGACACTGCTCAACGGAAATCAGATGGCAACTCAACTCCAAAGAGAGCAAAAATGAGACAAACATTATCTATATCAAATATTCCACCGGTATCCAGTAAAATAGGAGATACCCAGAGCTTCCGAGCTGTACCAGCCAGTTTGAATAAAAAATCCACTAAATATGATCAAAAGTCAGATAAGAATCATTTTGTGAATGCTGATATGGGAATCGTAGATGATAATCCTGAAATTTTCCTCTCTAAACCATCTGACGAATTAAACTCATCCGGATCGCCGAAGCATATAAGTGAAAAGAACTGTTCTCATTTTGCTGCCGATGACCATCAAAAAGGTGAAAGAATAATATTCAACGATGAATTGTTGAATACTGTTGAACTAATAAACAATGATTTTAGAACAAAAAGAGCCAGTTACATATGGAACAAATTTTTTCCTGAAAAAAGTCATGAACTTGTCGAAAGCAGCAATTCAAATGAGTTAGCATGTCTGTCACCAGAACTTTTGTATGAAGAACATAGGTATAGATATGGTGTTTCAAAAATATGTTCGATAGGTAAAAAGAGTGTTAAAACATTTAACGCTGTTTGTGAATATGTTGAAGAGTGGAACAATGCTGAAAAACTTAATCAAAACCATTATGGAAATTCATAGTAGAACCATGCAGTAATTACGGCAATTATGTGTACTTGATTGTTTATTTACTGGCGATTGACCTTCTCATGTTTTGTGTAAATTTTATTATCTGGTAATTTATTGATTCTCTAGACATTGTCTTGCCAAGCATGGACCATGTTTAGTTAACCGTACTTGCCTTTATTAAATTGTATACTTCTGTGTAGTTCTTATGTGTTTTTATGCTTTTAGTTATTGTTGGTTAACGTTGGTCAAATGTCACTAATAAGCATTATCATAATATTATGCGTTATCGTTTTTTTACTATTTTCTACTCTTTTCTATTTTGAGTCCTACACTATTACGCTATTTGTATTGAATCTTTATCAAGTTTACTGTTTTTTTTTTTATATATTTTGGATTAGGGTTGTTATTGCTGAGATATTTGCAAATTTTTATACCGATGTTAGCTGATGTTAACTATCAGTAGTTCATTTTCTGCCATGAATGGCTTATATCATACTAAGATAAAAGTGGTTCAATTTGAAGAATTCGTGTTTTGTCTCATCTGTGTGAGTGCTATTTTAATTTAGATAAAAATATCACTAAAGTTTGAATATTTTTTTATGCTGCATGATATTGCAGTGTACTGCATGTCCATTTGGCACAGAGCTTTGGTCTATAATATGATAGGCCTATTACATTTCAGCGGCCAAAAATTTGAAAGCTAAATTGCTTTATATTTTCCAACCTTGGTGACTAGTTATTGTTAACTACCATATTTTCAGTGTTTGATTAATTCAAATAACTGGACAAGTTTATTCATCATGATGAGAATTATGCATTTTGTGTCAAATTTGTTGAGATGTTAGGGTTAGGGTTAGGCTTTATGTGCCTGAAAAACTATTCGGGTCATGACATAAAGTTTTCCGGAATTTATTAGCGAATGCAGGTTACCCTTAATAATAATTGATTTCACATTTTTAGCAGATCTGTACAGTCAAATATAAAAATTTCATCATAGATGTTGCTAAAATGCCAACTATTATTGCATTCGATTGTTCGCTTTCGATGAGCCGTGTTGTAACGACACAAGTAGGAGAAGAAGGTGGAATAAAAATATCCCAAAAACACCTTGCATATGATGCATGCAATGAACTTCTCAAATATTTATCAAAAAGAATAAAACTGGAATACACTGCATTGTTATCTTTTTCTTCGACTTGCCAAGTACTCTGTGAGTTCACAAGAGATCATGAAGCTTTGAAAGCAGCTTTAAACAAGGTTAGATTCTTATATTTACTGTAACCATCAATTTTTGAAGATTAATAAATGTAGCTATGATAGAATTAAACACAAAAGCTAAATTGCAGTTTAGCTATAATTCAATTGAAAATAGTGTCATAGACATGGATACCCATGTTATAACCATTTCACCATATTCCATATATAAGATAAAACCAATCCTTTATCATTTTTTTTTCAATTTCTTTATCTGTGAAAGTTTATTCTGGGTATATCAACGATCAAATCTAACCGGGGTAACTGTTAAAATAGCCATCCCCGCTGATCTTTGCCTTAAATTTGTATGGTCTGTGATCCAAAATCTCTGCTCACATTTGATCTAGCCTTGATACTCAAACTCTCAGTATATTTTTTCTTTTTAGGCGAAGCTTCGAGATAAAGCTTGTCTTGAACCATTATGTCATGAAATAAATAACTTGGTATCAAAAGAATTCGGATATATGGTTCCATGTAACATCATTATTGTAACCAATGGTAGAGTTAACTGGACATCAGATGTCAGAAGTGTAAGTTGTGTATGGTAATATTTAATATGTATAATTGAAATAGGAATTTTTTTTTTATATAAACAGCAACTAACTTTGGTTTGGATATCATAACAATTGTTTTTTGTTATGGAATTCAAGTATGTTGGATTGAATTTAGGTGATGTTCACCCACTCACCCTGGGATGGTGAGCCTTTTATAATGAATGAGTCAAAAATTATATTTTTTCATCTCGAATATTTGATCAAGGAAACGTATAATCCTTAGTTGGTATTGTGTCGTTTTGAGCTTTACACATAGCCTACACCACTTATATCATGACAGAGGTCATTTTTGGTTCTTATTGAGAACACTGATTTGCATACATATGAATACTGGAAAACAATTACAATGCTGTCATTGCTGTGTTTCTGTGTAAAGTCTTTTCATAGTTTCAAAGGAATATGGAAGGGAACTCAACTATGAGGGAATGATATTTTTTGGTTGGCTACCAGCCACACTAAATTAACTACCATACATCATTGTTATATCAAATTTTTGTTGTCATCAATTCAAGTCTGTTAAATTTTGTTTTCCAAACCACATTTCATGTGGGAAAAAAAATGAACTGCAGAGTAGCATCTAGTTGAAATTATCATATTTACTAAATATTAAAATTACTAAATATTAAACTTTTTTAGGTTAATCCAGAAGAATCTCTTCAAAGCATTGAATTTCCAATCAAATTTCAAAGTGCAATTCATTTCATCTGTGTCACAGAAGATCTAGCTAAATCCGGAAGAGAAAAATTTATACAAGCAGTGATTCAGACAAATAATGGTGAGAATTTCACTTAATATGCTTTAGTAATGATAAATAGGTGATGAAGTAAGGAATACACTTGCCTGCACCAGTTCGTAACCTGTGCGAGGATAATTATGTGTATTAGAATTGATGGACAACTTGCAGTCTGGTTACTCACGACTTCCTCCACCATCAAGTTCATGCATCTGAAACAAATAAATAGCTTACTATTTTCATATCCGACATGGACTGGAAACCGAACGATAGGTTGAGGTTCATTATATAATTAAGCTGTCCTATTTCCCAGAATAATATGCAAATTCTTTTCTAACTCTGACCCTAAACAGGAGTTGTTAGGATTTTCAGTAATTACGACAAAACTCTTATATATTTATCTCCACAATTTAATTTTCCTGCAAAATTTATCCAGGTAAAGGTACAATCAACAATTTACAGAGTCCAGTGATTGATCACCAACTATCGGTTCGGAAAATGGTGAACGATTTTACTTCGAAGCACATGAGTGTGTTCACTGGAAGACTACAATGTGGAAATCTTAAAAATGATGTAAGCTGTAAAATAGATCTTGTCTGAGAACTTTTAAAGCATTCGATCTTGTTGATTTCTACTATGTAATGTGTATATGGTATGTATGCACTATATAGTATGAAATAGTTAATTTTGTTTCCGCCTCTCGAAACTCGAAGAATGGTTCACCAACTGAAAAGAAGGAAGATTGCAGGCAAAAAGGTATAAATAAATAATATAAGTATAAAAACGAATTGTAACGTCCCAGTACCTACACTCGTGTACCTTTATTAGGGAATATTCCAGTTAGGTATTATTAATTCCATTTAGGCTTGTGGTTTTAGTCTTGAATTTCTGTAAATGTAAACACGATTTTTTTATCTGAATTAAATTTTTAATGGACCCTAATCTAGAATACAGAGCAGGCTTACTGTTAAATGTAGTTTTCTGTTGTTAGTACTGTTGAGTAGTGGTTGACTCGTTATTTAATGGAAAAACGACTTTGACATGAATTCATGAACAATAACTAAATTCTACACGCAAAACTTGAAAGTGATAAGATGATATCACTGGATTAAGTAGGCTTTGGATATATTAATAATAAACTTGATAACATGTTCAATTAGCTATTTAATAATCCTGTTTTGTTATTTCAGATTGTATTATTTCCATCACCAGAAAAACAAAAGTCATCTGGTGATATTGGTATGAATCCACTGAGAAGCATTGAGAAAGATTTGCACATTGTTGGGTTTTTGAATATTTCAGATGTCAAAAGTCCACCTGCATCATCAAGGTACTGGCAAATAGGGGTGGGCAAAATTGAATATTTTTTTCGAATCGAATAATTCGAATATTTTTAACGAATACCGAATAGTCGAATAACGAATATTTTTTATACACAACAGGAGGTCCAGAACGTCGGTCGATAATCCCCTTGGAAATTAATAAAGACATTGAAAAATCGGCTACAAAGCGTTTTAACTGGTTAATTTCGGTATAATCGCTGATTGTTTATGTCACCGTGACCGTTTTTGCGGCGATATATAATCTATATTTCCGCCCTTTCTGTTTTTTGCAAGTATTAATTCTTTCGGGTCGGCGGACATTGAAGTTTATATTTCGGGTTTACCCGTGTGTTCACGTCGGCAACAACTGTTGGGACCATCAAGGATTGATTTCAGAACCCAAATTAATAATATTCTAATTTTTATCATTTGCGTAGACTTTCATATTACTTATCAACGTTTGTAAATTTACCATCACAATATTAAGCGAACGATAATATTATTATCTATACCGGGAATCCGGGATGCAGATATTTATTAAGACAATACCGTAATTAACTTTGGTATGCTTTTCTATGGTGTCTATGTTACTTTACAGATAAACCTCGCAAAGCTGCGATTGCGTCAATCCCGAGTGTTGATTTAAAATAGTGACTAAATAATTCGGCAATAAAGGCAATTCTGCGTGGCCATTTGACGAGATGACGTTAATAAACAGCGCTTCTTGAATAATAATTTACATATGCGACCTAATGCTGAAAAAATTGCGCATTTGTACTTTTATGCCCAATAGACGGCCAGGCGCTAATTATAACTAACTCTTTCAAGTTCCGACGTTTTCTTACAACAAACCCCGCGATCATTATAGCTAATATCGTTACCGAGTAATTCACAATTTTATTTAAGGAATTTCCAAATTAACTTTTACATCTCTTGACGATTTTGATAATGTCACGCCCTATTTATTAGTGCAAACATGCTCAAAATATAACGAATGTAATAATTTCCGACGATACAATTCGTGAACGAGACAGCGCGCGTTGTTACATCGAAATTCACAATTGATTTTACGTTATACTCCTATTCACGATTTCTACACTCCACCCGCCATGCATGCCCGAGTAAAATGTTTACATTTTCGAAACATTACTTGGTCAAGAATGAAAGGAATCACTAAAGAATTATTTGAAATTACATTAAGAGAACTATGTCCTGCCATTTCTTTTCTGGTCATAGCTTGTTCGTGTTATACTATGTATGGTTTCATGCGAAAGTTATTTCAACTTTTAATTTTCGTTAAACAAATTTATGTTTGGTTCATGCATGAAACGGCTAATCACGTGCCGCCAATCATACGGAGTTTAAAATCTGGAATATTTATTTTAAATACCTCATCTGATTAGACGTTTCTAAATTTAGGAAACGGTGTCGGTACCTTTTTTAGCAAAATAGAGAATTGAAATGAACGATTGAAACGCAAAGAAAACAAATAACACCACGACGCAAAGACAATTTTTCAAATTTGTCGCTTTTGTCTGTTAGAGAGCGTTGTAGGGGAATTCTCGCGCTATTCACGATCGGTTCAGAGACGTTCTGTGTTCCAGTGAAGCGGCGAAGATCACGTGGTACCCGATATTCGAATAGTAAAATGCCATTCGAATAATTTAATATTCGATTCGCTATTCGTTATTCGAATATTTTGCCCAGCCCTACTGGCAAATCAAATTTTTAAAATTGGTCTGAGCATAGATGACAAAAGAGAAGATTTCTATATCATGAAAGTTTATATTTCCAGAAATACTGTCTGATCACTCAGTAGTATCATTCGCCACTGCCAGCAGTATGCGGCGTACTGACAGATTTTGCTTTTCTACATCATTAAACTATCTTATCGGTTTGCCTATTTCAAATTTTTCAGGCACCTTATCCTACCTGTTGGTAATACTAACATAACAACAACTGAAGATGACAAATCTCCTTCACAAGATCTTGGAAATTTGCCATCGTTTATTGTTGCACTTCACGGAAGTCTAAAAATAGAACACAAAATTGCATTGGTACTTGTAGGTGAAGACTGGTATGGTATTATCAGCTCATGGACCGATCACAAGAAAAAATCAAACTTGATTCTCTCATTATTTGGTATTGGGACGGAATGTATTCCATGGTTGGGTTCACTTGAGCACCTGGGACCATCAGAGGGGGCTCCGCCTATCCCAACTGACAAAAAACATGTCGCTTCTTTTGCCGTTGCAAGTGATCCGAAGAGTTATTCTCAAAATCTTGTTGTCTGGACGAAGCCTACTGGGCTACAAACTGACGTGCAAAAGCTTTTAAGGAGTGCTAAGAAATTACCAGAGAAAACACAGGTGAGGTCTAATTTTGCTGTTCTTCTATTGGTCATAACATAATATTTTCCTAGTCTAGTGGACATTTTTCAAATATCACTGTTGAAAACAATAGACTGTTTGAATTCGGTATGTCAATCCAAATTTATATTTCCTACTGAAACTTTTGATGTCATCATCCATCTAATATTATTTCGAGTCGCACATTTGTTGTTTTGTAAGAAAGGATAGTTAACAAAGCAATGCACTGAATAGACAGACAAGAAAATGAGCTCTTTGGACATTGATTAGCTCAAGTCGCTCACCCTCATGATATAAGTATAAGTTTATTTCGACTCCATAATCAGCATAACAATAAAATGGTGAAATGAATCAATTTGAAAAATGCTTTATTCAAAAATAGTTCCATAATATCCAATGAAAAGTTTTTACAACTGAAGTATTTATCACGACAGAAATTTTATATGTCAGTAGATGTCCTCTACTATTAAAGAGAGATTAAGTTTGTAGAGCACTTTTCATTGCCTTATGGTAAAAATTGAGCTGTCAGTTGTCTTCATTGTTCACCTTGAAACAATCATTTACAGGTGTTCTACAAAGATCTTAATCGAATTCGAAAAGCAGCACTGGCATTCGGATTTTTTGAACTTTTAGAAGGGATTGCTGCAATACTGGAAAGGGAATGTACAATGCTGCCTGGCACATCTCATCCAGAAGCAACTTTACAGCTATCACATGCTGCTCAAGAGTTAAGAGTATTGAAAGGATATGATGTATCAATTTCTCCTCTAAAAACTGATTTTAAGCATCATTCAAGATGATAATAAAATTTACTCAATTAGAAATCAGGTGTTTGTAGTATATTTGACACTCCCAAATTAAATAATAGCATTTTTATTGAGCCAGCCACGCAACGCTCATAAGATTGATGATGATTTGAAAAGTTAATCCCATGTTTAGGAATAATTTTGGGATTCCTTGCATGATATTTTGATTAATCGGTTGGCATGCTGTGCTTAGCATCAAGGCAACGCTTGCCGATGCACGACTGTTTACCCTGTGGGGCTTCGTGAGCTTGTAATCTTCTGTGGGGCCATTATGAGTATTTGCCAGACTCCTCATCTCTGGGTGGTTCATGTAAGTGCTGGACAGTTACCGAATCATCCAGTGACGGCCTTAGCTATTGTGAGGAAAATTGCGAAACGGATTGGCAGTGAACTTAGAATTAAGATTGATAGAAGTGAATAAGTAAATTTCATTTTCTTTTAAAGTGTAAAATTACATTGAAGTGACTTCACGTCTTGCTTCTATAGAATTACATTGTCCTATGAATCAATATCATTTACAATGGCTAATTTGTCTATGGGAGTGCGGGCACATTGCATTGGTTGCTGTGGTCTAAGACTGGCTCTGGAATCGTTCATCAAAGTTCCTGTTCATGAAATGATTGTCTCATCAACTGCTTCCATTCCATATACCACCTGAACTGTTAAACAAACGAGGGCCCGTTAAACCAAGTGATCGACTTTCCTTGTTGACTAATATGAAAAAAATATCTCATCTGGATTTGATACAACTATGTGCATGTGTTCTTTCATATCAATTTGATACTGTCAGCATAGATTCATCCCAGAATTTGATTACAGGTGTATTTCCACTCCATAATCAGCACAAGCAAATATATAAAAACTGATCACAAAATCAGGCAATGGCAATCATTTAGGGCGCAGCTTTTGCAATGGCAAATTTGAGCAGTCCATGTCATCATAGCATCGGTCAGGGGTGACCGACCCGCGGCTCTTGCTCCGGTTTCATGATGCTCTTTTTGCCCAGGGTATTTTAAGGACTACGATTTATCATGTTTCAATTAAACATATGATTCGTCGTGCATCTTTCTTTTACGTCGAAGATACATGAACGCCGCCATTCACTTTGCAATGCAATCTTTCACTATTAGGTCACGTTTATTGCACAACAACAGCTGTCGTCTCGTTTGATTCGGAGACGGATTGTTTGAAATGCGCTCTGAGGAAAGGCACCATTGAGTTATGTAAGAGCATGCCTATAGAAAAATAGCCCAATGTCAAACGAGCTGCGCTTAGGATATTGTCAATGTTTATGTCAACATACTTAGCGAATCTGTAATTTCTATACCCCAAAACACGTGAAATCAAAGCAAAGTTCCCATAACTCTTGATTCTTGACTGTGAGTGAACTTTTTGTATTGAATGCCTTCTAAATTTCCATGCCAGATAGGTAAAAAAGATGCCTTCCTAATGTAACTTACTGTGACTCATGTAACTCATGGTTGCATCTGAAATGTTCAGGCCTTAAAATTGGTCAAATTAGCAATCTTGGCCAAACAGATGAACCATATTACTGTAATCACTGTTTAATTGATATTTTTCCGGGTATGTCAGAAAATGATCAAGATTTTTTCAGTACCTTCGCTGGTACAGATTTTGATAAAATAGATCTAGCCTGGAAATCTTCACCTGAGTATATTGATGTTCACAATCGTAACAAACCAGAGTTACCAAGTGATATATCTATGATAAACGTGAACATCAGATCGATTGGTAAAAATTTAGAAAAACTTGGTAATCTTTCAGACGATTTAAATTTTTTTCCTGATAACATAGCTGTATCAGAATCAGGAACACACCAGTCTATTGCGGTAAACATTAACTTGCCAAATTACTCTTTTATACACGAGGATTCTCCAACAGCGGCCGGGGGTCAAAACGATGAATATAAGCTTAATCTTAAGACCATGCATCTGAAACGCATAACTGACTAACTAATCCCACACCCGAGGGGCCGTGGTATACCATATGAATAAGCCTTCTTATCGACATTCCTCTCTCAATAGATAAATATGAAAATCCTATCATTCTTAACCTGTGATATGAGTCGGCATTTAACTAAAATACGGCCTATTCTTACTCATCTCAATTTTTATAGACAGCTAAAAAAGGCGAGTTTCAGGTAACTGTCACGGCCCCTCGGGTGTGGGACTGAGTAAATTTGTCGTCACTCGGACAATAATTACAGATTTATTATTGAAAATAGAATAATTCCATCCTACGATAAGCACTCTAGAGTCTGGGGGTATAGTCATATCGCGTTTTTCTCGACATAAATGTGGCGTATTTTACTAACTTTCGTGACTGCAAATCACAAAACCAAACCATATTTATCGATATAAATGTCGCACACAGTAAATTTGGCGTCGTATGGACCAAATAAAAAATGTCTCCTTGAACAAATTTAGCGTCACAAATATAATAAAAGATCAAGTTATAGTGGAAAATAGAATATTTTGATCCAAAATTCCTGTTGGTAGTTACAAGTTCAACTATATTAGCACCAAGATCGAGATTCACCATTAGGTAACGAGGATATTTAAATATATATATATATTCATTCCTCATATGCTAGGTAGCTAAAGCCTGTGGGTCTAACCCTCTGGTGTCTTCAACATTCATTTTATTATTATTATTCCTTGTGAAGTTGTTTTTAAATTTTATAGGCTTGTGCCCGATTTGAGCAGGCGGCCCTGATCAGCACTTTACATTTTGCTCTTTATAGATATTCTAATTTATTTTTCTTCGTGTGACCACATTGCATCTACCATGTCGTAATCTTTTTCGCAACTTTGTCTTTTTGGTTCACTATTTAAAAAATGAATATATATATATATACATTTACATGTTTATTTGAAATAGCCGTTTAATATGAAACAGATGCAAAACAGGGTAGTCTCTTGGACTAAAGTCGAAAGTTTATCCTGGGTACACACAATACAAAATTGTCCGTGTAAATTTACCGTAACAATCAAATAAGTTTGTACTTTTCTCCATTCCAATAAAACTTTCTCGCACAAGTAGAAATACGCATATGAACATGGAGCGTCATTTATCTGGAAATTGATTCCAGGGTAAAAGTCTCCGCATCTTTCATGTGAATTACTGGGCTGGCCCGATCCCCAAGCGGTGTTGGTTCTTGTTGAATGTACTCCATCAGACCACACCCAGGTGTTTTGCTTCATTAGGTCATCAAGACCTATCCAGAAAGGCTTGTTTAAAGGCCTGACCGAGCGATCCACAACTTCCCTGTTGAAACGAAAAAGCTGTTAAATCAGGCCAAACTATATATATAATACAGGTTTTACTGTACTATTTTCACCTATTTTGACTCTTGACCTAGTCGGGACTACTATTTATGCCGAACAACTGCAATGGCGATAAAAATATCGATAGAGTCATTGCTCCTGCCACTTTAATGCCTGTCACAAGCAAGTTGTTGTCCAAATTTTGTAGCTCCCTTTATGAATCATAAATTCTTTCAAGATCGCTTCTTCCCACATCAAATATCATAGAAATATATCATATATTACACAAAACACTAAATATTCTAATTTGCATTCTATATTTATTTATATAAAGTTGACAGAGCTGAGCCGTGTCGTAATTTCAAACAAGCTAGAAAAAACAACATTCCTCAACCCAATCAATTCCAATCAGCTATGAGAACAATGGGTGAAATACAACTTTCATTCATGCAAAGACGGCTATGGATAGCAAACAAACATGTTATTCACAGAATAGAAACGGATGTCTAATAACCATTTCGGGTTCACTGCTTTACCAATCAAGAATCATTTCTTCGTGATCCGGTAAAGATATTTCATCAATGTCAAAAATCGTTATTTAAACTGTACTCAATCTTCATAAAAGTTTCTTCGAGATAATGAAACTTATGACCGATTATCCACTACATCTTGAAAATCTTGTGCCGACTGCTCAACAAATAAATACCTTAAATCATTGAACCTCATCCAATTTTACCTTGCCAAACTTTCAACACTTAACGATGATGAATCGTTTAATTATTTTTGCGTTATTGTCATTGATAAATGTTTAAAACGGAGAATTTATCAAAAAATGTCATGAACTAACTTCAGAACTGAAGATATTCTGAGTCCTTTTGCTGCCTATTTTGCGTTGTGCTTCACGCAGTTCATTTTTGCATCTTGGTAATTTGATTTGTCGTAAAACACCTTGAACCAATACTGTATGGCATTACTATCCTCAACCATATACCAGTCTTTCGCCGCTAATCGCAATCGTTCTTCTGTTGAAACATGAAAACAGAAAAGTTGCTTCGGTAATAAATTCATTAAATCATGTCTTTAAATAGACGCTCAGAAATGGAATAATCACGTTGATAGCCTGCGATTCAGTATTTTAACTACCTTACAAATGTGTTGGGTAAAAGTCCCCGAACTCAGAATTGGGGTCGAGTCGTGGGTTATCTGAATCTCGAGTCTGCAGTCGAGTCAATCACTGACATTAGTCTCATAGAGTTTAGTAGTCGAGTGCGAGTTTCAATCATTTCATTTAGATCAATGATTCTCAAACGGTGGGGGCCACCCCCCCCCCCCCAAAAAAAAGTAAAAATATTCGTTAAATTTGATCTTGCCCGCCTTATTTCGCTTATTTACATTTCTTTATTTTGAGTATTTTCGTTCCATCTACGTATTTGCAACGTGTTTTTTGTACAAAACATACTTTCGCCTTACTATCTGTTATTTGAAGCTTATTTTTAACTAGTTACGAGCGCGAGACAAATTCTGAAAAAGGGGCACGGTGTAACAACCACTGATTTGAATGATTTGAGTCACTTCAAGTCTTCAATAAATGGTGATTCAAGTAAAACTCTTTTCTCCACAGCACTGCCTTCTATTAGAAGAGATGTGGCCATGTGTTTTACCATTTCAACTAAAATTTTTATTTCTCCCAAACTTTTTTTTCTAAATTTGTAATGGTATTTGAAGGATTTTACACAATTTTTTGTTTGTTGGTAAATGCATTCGATTTAAATGCACTAGTAAATGTTTGAGTGCTATATCTGACATATACAATACACAAAACTCATGGCATCACAACTGAAGCAATTGAATATCACGGTTATTTTTATAAAAACTTTCAAATCTATATATATATATTACAACGATATCAGTAATGAGAATTTTGTGCAAGTCATATTTTCTCTAAAAAATGATTAAAAAAAAAAATGATGACAAAATCTAATATTGCGAAATTGGAAGTATAATATATGATTTTCATATTTTTGTACATTCATTTTCATATTTTGTGGGGAGAGATTATGCTGTTCCTCCCTTTGGATTGATTTTTAAAGTATTATGTCGGGAGCTGCCGCATATGGATGGATATACCCAGCGTAAAGTAAGCAAAATGCTTGTCTTAGCACCCTGGATCTCAACGAGTTGATATTATATTTTATTTAATAGTTAATTACGAGTTATATTTTAGTTATACCTACTTTTAATTTTTATGGGATAATTCTTACATTCTCTTACTCCGTATATACACACAAAAACATTTTTTTTTCATTTAAATTACCTTGTATCTGGAGTGCGTCTTGAGTTTGCGAAATATCGGCACAATCACAAATGCCTCTATCGCCTTTGTCTCCCTTCATACCGGATACACCGTCCAACCCGGGTTCCCCTTGCTCTCCTTTAGGCCCTGCTGGGCCTCGTTTCCCTGGGCGATTTGCCCAACACACGTGATTCATAACAAGCACAAAAATGCATATCCTATAAATGTAACACTCCATCGCTACTTGCTAGAAAGCGACAGGCTTTGAATAACGCATATATAGAATGCTCTCATTTAAAAAGATTCGCTTTGATTCTCATTTTTTCAACTTGAAGTCTAGCGTTCTCATGAAACTTTTTTTTACTTACTATCTCTTTTTTTATCGAGAGCACCTTTATCCCGAGCATAAAGCAATATTCGCAAATAGATGCTCGATTTTTAATCAGTCATTCATGGCTAAACTTGGTATGTCACAAGTTTATTACAACCCTTCTTGGCGTATGATCCAAAGTATCGGTCAGCGGGTGAGTAATCATACATATATTCCCTTAAAATTACGTCTCTTTTTCATTACGTTCATTCATTTTGTACATTTTCTGAGGACGTTAAAACGGATTTATTGTTGGAAAGATTTGTTGGTGTGATTGTATAGATCACGCAACACGGTTTTAACTGATATTTCACAATAAACTGTATCTCCTTATTGTACTCAAAAACCATAAATTTGAAAATTTCATATGTCAATGCGTAAGTAAATTTAAACCTTGTTTTAAACAAGCTTTTTCTTATTGTAAAATGATTCAATGACTGTGAGGATCTGTGGATAAGTGTCAAACTAAACAATGAAAAATACGCAATTATTGCAGTTATATATATACACCCCAAACAAGATCTCGTAAACTTCTATATAAAAGTCATTTGTTATCCATGGAGAACACAAAAATAAAATATTACAAAAGATACTCTAACATTCTTATACATATCAAGAAAAAAGCTAAAATAAAATTTTATCAAGAAAAATTCAAAGAAATAGAGGGTGACACAAAAAACATGGAGTCTCATTAACACAATCACTAATAAGAAACATAAACAAAAATTTCCACACGGAATTGAGACAAATTATAGCATTATATGCAACTACCAGTCCATATGCGAAGAATTTAACACTTATATACTTTGTAAACGTTGGTCCTAATCTTGCATCGAATCTGACAAATAATTTTATAAAATATTTAGGCGAACCCCAGCAATTATTTCCATTGTAAACAAATGTATTCAAGAAAAGCTCCTGGCCCGGACGGCCTGTCTATTCGTTTTCTAAAAATTATGATTCATATCATTAGCAAGAATCTTACAGATTTCTTTAACGCGTGCACACAGCATCGAGTTTTTCCCCAATGCCTGAAAGTGGCAAAAGTGACGTCTGTGTTTAAATCAGGAGCTCCAAGCATAGTAAGCAATTATCGACCATTTTCAGTTCTTCCAGCAGTATCCAAAATTTTCGACAAACTGTTACACATCTGTTACACATCATATTGGCAGAATATCTGGACAAATTTGACATTTTAGATAAACAATTCGGTTTTAGGATGGAACACTCTTATGGCGCACAGCCTGAACATATTATGTGTACTAGGTTAGGGTTCAGGTTGTGCGCCATCTTGGTACGAATACTCCTGGAGCGCCCATTATTCAACTTCGTTAGTTGCCTCATCTAGCCATAACACTAGTCAATTCGGTGACATGAGTAGTGTAACAATATGTCAATAGATTTTTCTGGTAATTTTTAAGACGAAACAAAACCAAATGCTTATTTTGTTCACCCTCTCGCAAATGCGACGCGGGCCACAGATAATGAGGCAGCGGGCCACATGTGGCATCGGTGATTGATAAAAAAAAAGCTGCCATAGTAACTTTGTGCAAGTACGGTCCTCTTGGATTGCTCATATGCGTTGCTATTGGTTATTTGGAAGGAAGAGTTAACTTATTCGTATTCGAACCTGTGCTTGGAGAAACTTGGTCAGTGAAATAGTTGCAAGACTTTTGCCTCTGGATGTCGGTAATGAAATGAACTTATCCATCACATCAGCAGTTACCCGAATTACGATTTTTTTTTTGGAAGTAGTTGTTCTTACATACTACTACTTCATCCTGGGTTTTTATATGCATGACAATCTTCTCAATGCTAATCACTATAAGGTTCCAATTATTGCTGAAGGTAATAATCTGCTTGAACGGGACCGAATTTTCAAAGAAGAAGCAGGCTTCAATAGGCGTGAATACTTGATACATTTCTGCGACTTCGGAACTTTACTACGACTCTGATATAATGGCGTTTAATAAAAGTAGTGCTGCGATTTGAAACAATTTTGGAAGTGTTTCCTTGAACGGCGGTTATTATTTGCATTTTTCGGTACGATGCTTATGTGCAAGTGCTTAAATGCACCGAAGATCGTATATTATAGGTCGATGCGCTGCGATCTTTGTATAACATACCGCAAGAGTAGGCCTTTAAAACGTGGGCGGATATTTATGACTACTATTTTATGTTTGGGAATCTGGCACTTAATTTTCTTTAATGGTTCTCAGAAACCTATTTCCGTGAGCCTAATTTTGGGAATCCCACTGCACGTGATTATACGCTAGGTTCCTAAGAGGTGCGCCGCGGTATTTTGCCAAGTGCTCCCCGAAAATTAACATAATTGTGTTAAACATGTCTAATATATGATTGAATATTGTATTTAATATAATATTCAATTCACATTGTTTTTTTGTTTTTTTTACCCTTGGCGCCGCACGAACAAAAAAATTGAATATATAAGGAATTTACTATTGTGAATTTAAATAATTGAATACTAATGCATGCATGACATCACAGTGATAAAATAGATGCATATTGAAAGATCCAAAACAAATAAATTGAGTTAGTTGTTCACAGTAAAAAAACTGTCTAAGGGTCAAATTCGAACATGCTTTTTTGGCAGAGGCATCTGTGTGAATTTTCTCATGTATTCTGTCATAAACGATACATTTGTTTTTCTGTCTTTTTGAATCCCGCCACCATAATTGCCATAGACCTTTTTCTTGCTATGATTCGGAGTGCACGTTTCTGAAATTCATTTACCGTCTATTACATTAATGTTTATAAGTGAGGACTTAGCAAAATAACATAATAGTATGTAATGTGGTGTTGGTTGTCTGGTTGAAAAAGCTAAAATTGTTCACGAACATAGGTTATTTCAATGTCAAAAATTTCCTGGTGGAACGAGCCAGTACTGTCCATCAAATTTCAGTAGCGTATCAAATAACTTGAATGTTTCTCGAATACAGCAATATAAAATAACTGTTAAATATGTTAAGTCAGATATACAGTACCTCCATGTTCATAAACTTTGATTTTATATTTGTTACGCTCGCTCCTTTTTTTCGGCACTGTGTCCTGAACTTTTTTCTTAGAAATGTCATTTTCCAGTTCCCATCCGTCGTAATGTTCCCATAATGTATTCCAGTGACCGCTGGATAAAATTCAAAAAAATACGCTCGTTTTGTAATGTATACCCTGTCATTACCCATGATTACAATTGAAAAACATATTGTTTCGGAGATAAATTAACTTTTTCCAATTTTTTAACGAATAGTAACGTGTAACGAACTAAGAAGCACATTAATTTCCGATTCATTAATAATTTTGTAGGTTTTAACCGTAAACAACTAGCACAATGTATATATTACCTGCCAAGAGATACCAAGGTTTTATGTGCCCATATCGGTTCTTCGGGTTTACGGCATGGGAGACCTTTGTATGTTTGAGCAGAAGTTGTCTCGAACTTCATTTTAGGTTCGCCGTCTTCACGAAACATTTTTCGAAATTCTCGCTCTTCGATAGCGTTTGCTTCTTTTAAGATTCTGTATAAATTTAAATCGACGAACTTTCAATAGTCGTTTTTACAATCTATTTGACTTCATGTAGTGCAAAAATAAGACTGATAAAATAAGATGTAAAATGGACTACCATCACACGAAAGGAAGTTATGTTTATCAAACACCAAGCATTCCAAAATTGTCACGGCCACGTAACACAGCGTTCAATTTGTATGCTTTGAATTGTTTAGTTAATGCTAATTATGTAGAACTTTATCAATTCTGAATTGGTTTATTTAGGAGATCTGTATAGTATCTGTATCGTTATAAAATGACGGGGTTGTATATATCAGTACTCTATAACAGCGACTACCAAGGGAGGCGCGTTTTGCTAAGTGCGCCCCGAATATTAACTCAAAATTGGGGTAAACATAACTAATATAAGCTGTGTATATGATCAATAAATTCATTTAAAAGCAGCATTTTTTTTTCGTGTACCGCTAAGTATGCGGTAAGGTTTTCTCTGATAATTGGGCGTCGAATGAACAAAAAGTTTGTAAACCGCTGCTCTATGATTTAAGCTGGACTCTTGTGAATCAGATTTATTTGTATATTATTTTCTGTTTTATAGCTTTTACCTCTCATCTTCACTGGCTCTTTGTTTCCGTTTCGCATTGCCGTCATCTTCTCGCGTTGGAGTAGTTGTGGTTATTTCAGCACTCTGCTCCTTTTCGTTTGCCTTTTCTGAATTTTCATCTTCTTCTTTTTCTCCTGAATCCCGGGCTGTAATCGATCTTTCTCCGTTATTCTCATCTTCCTCTGGTAGTTCGTTCGATTTGAAATGCTCTTTTACTTCTGTATCTGACATTAAATGAAGAAAATGATAAATATGAACCTCACTGTAGGTATAAATCACATCATTATGCTGGAATGAAATACAATTTCTCGATACAAACACGTTTCAGTAATTCACAAGCAAGTCTGTAGGTAAATACCCAAGATAATCGACCATATGTTAAATAAATTTAAGCTTAGATTACAGACTCAATACCTATATATCGATAATGATTTCGTAATTGCTTTAGTTAACTTATCTGAGTTTTAGGATTCAATGAAAATGATGAATGCGTGTCTGCGTTTTTATAACCAAATTTGTTCGAGTACCTGATTCAGTAACATAAATTTCAAATCTGAGCAGAAGAAATTCAAAGTTAAGAAGTTTTAAGGCGATAAAACGCACGGCTGTTGATTCCATAATATACACATAGGACGAAACAGATTTTCTGCATAAAATGCGCTGATTAAAAACCTGGTGGACTTTCTTCTGCTTTTCCCCTTTTCTCTCTAAAATTCAAAGCAGCGTTTTCTTCACCTGACCATTTCCTACAGTAATCCAAATTGTAACTT